TGCACACCTGCAAAGGTTAGTCTCTAGTCAGTAGTCTCTTGAGTCTCTGTCTCTGACAATGACTAATTTTTCTAGCCAATCACGTTGCTCAATTTTTCTTCCAAAGCTATACGGTTTGGGAATCGCAAATTCGCGTACGGGCCGCATTAGCAGCGCATGCATTTTGCATGCGATCTCACGAAATTTCAATGAACCCCGTTCTGTCCCAATAACCCTCACCAAAATATAAAAAAAGTTATATGGGACAGAATTATTCGGTCTAGTACTAGAGCTAACCTTATCTTAGCTCTAGTAACTATAGCCCGCTTACAGTTGCCGCAGGCACCAGCGGCAACTGTACGCGGGCTATAGTTACTAGAGCTAACCCTATCTTAGACAATTCGCTAAAGCAAGGATATATTATTCTTCTCTCAGATTATTAAATAAGAAATGCCAACGTTTTGTGGTGGAAACGTTCATGTAGCACAACTTTGTCAGTGATTTTAAATGCAGTGGCATAACCAGTGTTTTACCAGGACTGTAATTAATTTAATTATCACACTACATTATTAGTTTGTAAATTGTACTCTTGAATTAACTTGCAGTTAGCAGAAGCAGGATTTTATCATTGTCCTTCAGACCAGGAGCCCGACCTCGTGCGCTGTTACGTCTGCCACAAGGAACTGGATGGCTGGGCACCAGAAGATGAACCTTGGTACACATATTGAAGACGTGGTTACATACTTGCAGCCTCACGTCTGCAGTACTTAGCAGTAGTTACTATAGCATTTTGCATTACAGTTACAGGCCATGACGATTCTTACTAAAGCAGAATAGTAACAGCTAGGAAATTAATTCTCTATGCTCACCTACAAGGAAACATTTAATTTTACTTACGATGAAATTGGGAGTACGTAAGGGAGTTGAATCTTAGCAATATATAGATCGGGGTATGTCGAGATTTTGCTAGTAAATGCATTGTGGTGGATAAAAAGAACAATTTAACATTTTGAAACAGTTTAAAAACTACTTAAAACAGATTATGTGACACTTAAGACAGCTTCTGTTGTTTATGTAAGCAAGGTTGTTACTTTTTGCAGGAGTGAGCATGTGAGTCATTCAAAAGCCTGCCCATTCGTATTGCTGAAGAAAAATGAGAATCGGATGACAATGGAGGAATTTTTAAAGCTCGAGACAGAGAGGCAGTGTTGGAAGTTGGTGAGGGCAAGGTCCTACTAAGTGGCCCTAGTTGGACTATACATATATATATATATATGTGTGTGTGTGTGTGCGTATGCGTATATAATTATAAATAACTAGAGACAATTTGAATTTTGTTCTTTAAAACAGAATAATCAAATTTTTTGGATATGGTCTATATTGTTTTAATTCCTTTTTGTCACATAGGCTGTCCATTCTTTTCTAGAACAAGGAAGTAAAATCAAGAATAGAAGAATATAAAATGCAGGCTAAGGATGTGCGAGAAGAAATGGAAAAGCTCGTTAATGTATAACCAACAGACCAAAGCATGTATAAAAAATCAAGCAATTGATGAGAATGCACTATGATGAATTAATTTCACCGTATGCAACTATACTTGCACACGTGATGGATTGAATTACTTGGAAATCATTTTTCTACATTGCTAGTAATGGTAATGCATGTAAATACTTTTACGAAGCCTACGCATGCGAGAGGTACTGCGAATAGTTTATTTCAAAATAGCTTATGATAGTTGACTACACAGATTGTCATGGTGAGGTTTTAAAGGGCTGCTTAGATTTTAATAACACATTAATATTGTCTTTAACACAATCAGTAAGTCCTTGTAAGTTTACATAATATATTAGGATAGTCCTTATTACTTACTTAATTAGTACAGAGCATTCTGTGTATTATAAAAAATACAGTGCTATATTTTCGACGTTTACTAAAAAATTACTGTGAAACCTTTTTTAAATTTGTTGCTTTTATAAATTACACATTTTTCTTTTCAACAGGAAATCAGCATTTCTGTTTAAGTTTGGTCAAATATCCAGAATTTGTTCAAAGCACACAAAGCTGTCCGTTCTATTCATCTAGGTGTTCGGCACCCTCTATTTTCCTGCGCAATTTATTGCAGTTTAGTATCATCGCAGCATGGTCGCGTTTTAAGGCACTGAGTTTGTCATGGAGCTGCTCAGCTTCCTCCTTCCTTTCCTCGTAGTCAAAGAGAAGGGCTTCATTTCCTAGCATGCCACACTGCTGCTGCAGACGTTGGTTGGCTGTGCGTAGGTTGTCACGAACCTGCTTGCTGTGGTTCAACGTATCCCGTCGCTGCCAAATGGAGGCAGGCACACATCACACATACATGGTTATCAACGTAAGAGAAGCGGGAATAGAGGAATATAAATGAGAGGTGAGGAAATATTCTCTGCCTTCTCCTTTTACCATCACCTCCACCTACATGCTTTGCTTTTCAGCCTTCAAACCACCTCACCCTCTTTTTCTTTACTCCTACACTAATCTCTCAATGATAGTGGAAAAAAAGTTGAGCCACCCCATTCTAACCATCCTAATGTCTTTGTTTTACTCCTGTCCCAATCGCTCGGAGATCGTGGTAATTCATAAGTATTCGTGATATTCATTTGTCAGCCCGCTGCAAGCTGTTCTCATTCCTGCCCCCTATATCTTGGTAATGATAAACAATGCCTACCTGAGTCACCTCTGCATCGGCCTCCTGCAGTTTGCAGTTCTGCTGCTCGTTTTCCACCTGCATGTGCTGCAGTTTCTCTTTAATGTGGGTAAGAACCTGTACTGTGTTTGTTATCTTCTTCCTCAGCTTCATCAGCTCCTGCAACATTCATGTTTCCAGAAATTCATCTGCGACTACAACAACAACTGCCGCAGAAAGCTATTACTTGTTTCTGTCATCAAAATGACATGAGAAGTATATTTGTAAAGAGTAGCAGTGTTCTTAACTTTGCCATGTAGTATAGGTCAAATCGTATTCTATCCTTGGAATACTACACCTCATTTCTCTCTTCAATCTTCTCATTGTATGTCTGGTTTTCAATTTTGAGTTGTTCGAAGTCTATGAGATGGAGTCCATCTGCAAGCTCCTCCTGGTGGTAATAAATATTTTTTTGTGGAATCATTTTACTTTTATCCACATTCATGAACCATTAGTACCACACACCGTAGAAAAAAGAACACAATTTTTTGTTTTTTTGATATGGTGGTACGTTGGGTAGGTCTGTATTTCTGTAGGAGTACTGTGTAGGCAGTTATTAAAAGGAGGCATGGTCACAGGGAGAACTTTTAAAGTGATCATGCAAACTTCGTGGATGAATCGAGCCACATTACACATTAGGTTGTCAGCGCTGCCACTATGTATTAGCATCATTACACCACCATTCCAAATATACCACAAATTCATGCACCGCAGTACTGTGTATATTAAGTAGGAATAGAAACGATAGTGCAGATATATGTGACCCGCTCCAGCATAATACGGACTAAGTCGCAAGTCATTGTTTTGAGTAATGAGCACACACATGTCAATGCTGAAAATGGCCTACCTGGACAAAAATAAGTTCCTAAGTGCATATTTAATCCGGATATATAGGTTCAGATATCTCTAGATTATTATGGTCATTTTTAATTAAAAAAAATAAAAAGATTTTGAAGGGCCCCTGACCGCTCATCCCCGACTTGGCCCCTTACCCGGAACGCTTTTTCTCAAAAGCTGCATATTTCGGAATAAGTCGGTTTCCGATCTTTAAATTGCTGTAGATCGGTCAATTCTTTAGATATAGCCAAATATTATATATCATTTTAAAGGTAATTAAATGATCTATTCAGATATGCACATAACTCAATTTGTAGAATTTCCTACTTAATCATGGTTTTGCTGGAGCTGGTCACATATGGGGAACATCGACATTCTAGGAAGGGCATCCTGACCTTCTCCCTGAGAAGTTGTTCTTGCTTCTTAAGCTTGTTTTTTAGTTGTATGTTGTCCAGCCTCATTGTCGTTACCTCTGTTTCCTTCTGCGCCTCTCGCTGCATGAATTGCTCAACGTCCTACAAACAGAATTGATAAGCACAATATAGCTTTGTAAGTGGAGAAATTTGCTCTGCTCATCCAGTAAGAATATGAAAGTAACGCAAGAACATAACTAAAGAAAAATCAGTCTATCCAATTATCTTAACTTTGTAGCTGAAATGTAGGAGAATGTCTAAATTGCAAATGGTATCATGATAATCACACAAATGTATTCATGTCATATCTATGTCTATATCATATCTATGTCAAATATATTCATGTCTACATTTGTGTAACCATCTACTCTTGATGGTATATGCTAGGAGTGTAACGATACATTTTGTTTCGGTTCGGTTCGGTTATTTTCAGTTGTAAAAAATTAAAAATGCTGAGAAGATGGGGAAATTGCCCTCCATTTTGAATAATAATAATAATAACACCTATCACAATATTATACATTTATTGTGTTATTCATTGGCCAAAAGACAATAAAGTGATACAGTTCAAGGATAATAGTCATAATACTATTCATTAAAGTGATCTACGCTGAGAAAAGTGAGAGGGACGGGGCTTGGCGTAAGTGCTGAGCTGTTTGCTCGCCGCGTGTGCTCCCCTAACTGAGTGGGTTGAATGTATTTCCCGGAACCGAACCGAGAACCGAAACGGAAAAAAAACAAGTGCCGCAGAGCGACAGCGCTGAACTGACGTGTACTGTAGCCAGGTATTCTTCTGATAAACTCACTGGCAAGCGAATCAAGTGCACCCTCCTGCCACCGCGTTCGCGCTCAGAGCATATATCTAGGATACTACTAATACAGATCTAAAATCTATGATAGGCTTTGCTATACCTACTGGTAGTACAGTAATAACTAGAGCACTCGGAGAGCACTCGAGAAGGCAGCTGAATTCTCTCAATGTGAAATTTTTTATTAATTAATTAATTAACTAATTAATTGGATCCGGATTAGTGCGAGCGTGCAGGTGGGGGAGGACTGTGGTTGCCCCTTACCCTGTGGTTGCGTGTTTGTAAGTCTACAGCCAGCGCACCTAGCGGAAGTGAACTGAAACAAGCATGGTAACACACAAACACACAAACCAACACTCAAAAACTCGCCGGTGAAAACATAACCCCTGCCATGCCCCTGGCGGAAGTAAAGATACAGCTGTGTAACTTTAATGACTTCGCTATATTAACATGTTTATGTTATCATGGATATGCGTCGAGCGCGAGCGTAGTGGTGGTGGTGGGGGGGGGAGGGGGAAGGGGCTCTAATAGCAAAAGCAGTTCAGTCCTTTGTTAACGGTCAACAAATCAATGTTTAACCCTGCTCTTGAGGGTCAAAAGGTTATCAGACACTTACTCTTCGCATGTCAGCGGAAAGTACATTTCATCGTCCTTTCAATAAAGCCATAAAAATGGTGGTCACTGCTGAAACAAAAAAGTTTTTCAATCCCTCCGTCAGACCATGTCCTCAGAAAATGACCGAAAGCTCTTGGATTTTAGCAATTTATAACCTTGAAGATGGCCGTTTTTGAGGGAATTGAAAAAAATTGATATTGTAAGTGCAATTTTGTGAATTCTAGGGTAATTTTTTTCTTTGGATCCCAGAGGTAACACGCAACCCCCCCCCCCCATACACACAACCAGTGGCGGATCCAGAAGAAAATTCTAGGGGTGGCGAATCATGCGAGCTCAAGGGCACGAAGCGCCCGGGGGGGGGTTGGAGGGGGTGTCACCCTCCCATTGTGTGGAATTGTTGAAAATTTACAATCTAAAAGCACTCAATTTTGGACATCCTCCTTCAGGGCGTGTTCCCCTCCTGTTTAAGGGGGGGGGGGTCCGGGGATTTTGTTGAAAACCTCTTCGATGCAATTTCCTGCACTATGAGGCAGCACTATTAAAGTGATTACGTCACCGTAAATAATAAAAAATATAAAAAATATTTCCACTTTTTCACAAAATATAAGTAATTCTGTTTACATTTTATTGTTAAATTGCTGCATTACTCTTCCTATTTTGCTATATTGTTCGATGTGAACATACACTCGTGACCCATACATAGCCCATAACAAACAATTAATGTTAGACAACATTAATTCAAATCGTCCAGGTTTTTTGGATTTTTAACTAGTTGAGAAACAATTTTATCAGGTAAGAATTTGACGATTTGTTTAGTCTCGTTAAGTTCTTACTTTTAATGTAAAAAATGAGAATTTTTTTTTTACAAATTTTACCATAGAAAATTCGTGACGTAATCCCTTTAAACAATCTTCATCACAATAACATCACTGTTTACAAAATCATTGATTTCGTAACGAAATCAGTCATGCGACACTTGGCGCCCCATAGGCCCATGGCCTAACATCCTCCGTACTAATGGTTATATAGTTTATAAAACGTTGTAACATTGTACACAAACAAATTTGTTTTGAATAACTACCGATGATAGGACAACGACGCCTGAGATGATATTGCCTTCGAATCAGGCTTCACTCTGTGTTACTAATGCTGATCATTTTTAATTTCACTTGATTCATCGCTTTTCATTTCTTGGGTTTTATTACACCGTTGAACACATAGAAATAGTATAGATACACATAATAAAATAAATACATAAATAAATAAATAAACATAATATATACT